TGCAGATTATTCTTCAGAATCTCCTTCACTTTGCATTCCGCTTCCGACCAGCTTTCTCCAGCTGTCTCCTTGATTCCCTCAAAGATCAAGTTTTTTCGCTTGGACTGTGCTTCCAATTGCTCCATTTTGTCCGTTATAGTTATTAATAAAGACATGAAAGATCTGATTTTTTTTGTTATTATTTTAGGCACGTTATATTTTTCAGTATTCTTGACTTAGATGAAGATCAGATCACATTTTATGACAAATTAATGCAGAAAACCATGAATTTCCAAAAGGTTCACATACTTTTTCTTGTCACTGTATCAGTGTATGCATATGTTGGATGATAAAAAGAGTAAAGAAATGCAAAACATATGTAGGTTTTAGGGCATTTAGAAAAAAGGACAGTTTGTCCACCAGAGAGGACTGGGTCTTAACTTTTTCTTGCTCGCAGTTTCTTAATAACCCAGTCTAAGGGGACCTCATCAAAAATTCTGCTGATGTTTCATGCTTATGTAAATAAGACATAATCATCCACAGGCTTGACTGAGAGTTTCTGGCAGTCAGTAAAGGATTTGTGCCGTCTATATCTCAGTAATAAATATGTTTTAGAATAGTTTCTGTTAAGATACCCAGTAGGCCAGCCTCCAAAATTATTACATTCCTGCACTGATGAGTACTGGATTATTGAGCCTCAGGACAGTGTGTGACTCACAGTGACAGCTGGTCTCCCTGTTCCTGAGCCACATGCTGCAGAGCTGACAACTCTGCTATCTGCTGCACTGATGAAGAGCCACCTACAACAGGAGGAAGGATCAGCCGCCCACTCAGGTAGTCACCCAGGAGCTACACACAGGCAAGAAAACAGAGATAAAATACAGTTAATAGTGAGATAAAAACTGGACCAGTGGTTGGACAAGTACTATTATTCTTGTTTGCCGTGAACTCATCTTGTCACCTGCTGGTAGTGGAAGTCTACATAGAGGTCACTATTGAAGGAAAGAGCATTTCTCCACATCACTCTCCTCAGAGACAAGAAGATGGAGCTGTCATCCAGCTGGAAGTCGAAAAGATACTCCTCAGGATGGAGGGGGCGCCCAGTCCCAACTGACAGCAGAGGAGCAGAACAGTGAGGAGGAGGTGCACGACACAGGTTTCTTTGTCTGTCATTTACATACTGTATGTTCACAGCATTAGAAGTCTGTCATAAGGAATGCGAACAGAAGTTTTTAAAGAATTTAGCTTTATACCATTAATATGCAAAATTATGAGGATAGGAACACCAAAATTTAGTTAGATCATCTACTCCATATGGAATATCTGTACTATAAAGATGAAGTTTGTTATTTGTATTGTTCTTGAATTTTGTATTTGTCTGCATCATCACAGAGACACCTGATGACATATGATGTCACATATATTACATATCATGATGACAGGATATAATAATAGTAATAAAAATAAAACTTTATTTATATAGCACTTTACAACTCCAGTGGAGCCCAGAGTGCTTCACAGCAGAACATGTATAACTGCTAAAAAACACTACTAAAACAATACAACCTAAAGAAAATAAAACAGAATTTCAAGGCAGAAACGGTAAAAAACTTCCATACCAGAATACAACTGGAATAAAACAACAAGTTAAAAACGTCTCTTTTGGAGGAGGTAAGAAGGGGGATAAGCACCAAAAGCCTGTCTAAAAAGGTGGGTTTTTAGAGCTGACTTAAAAGCCGCCAGCTCGGTTATGGACCGTAGCTCTAGTGGTAGAGAATTCCAGAGTCTGGGGCCATGCACAGCAAAAGAACGATCGCCCCATTTTTTGTATCGAGACCGTGGGACAACCAAGGACTGATGTTCTGAGGAGCCGCAGCATTCTGGACCAGTTGAAGCTTCTGGAGAAGAGACTGAGAGATTCCAACATAGAGGGCATTGCAGTAGTCAAGTCGCGAGGTAATAAAAGCATGGATAGCTTTTTCTAAATCTGCGAGCGATAAGAAGGGTTTAACCTTCGTTAGGACTCAGGTGAAAAAAGCTAGATTTAACCACGGACCTGATCTGCTTATCGAAATTGAGGCCGCTGTCAAATATCACTCCAAGGTTTTTCACGGTATCCGTGAATGAAGGGGCTGAAGGACCTAAAGTCGATACAACAGCAGCTGGATCAGAGCTAAAAACAATGTATTCAGTCTTGCTCTCATTTAAATGAAGGAAATTCTGTGATAACCACTGCTTCACATCGCGAATACAATTATGTAGTGGGGCAAGTGCGTTAGAATCGCATTGTATCAACGGCACGTAAATCTGAACATCATCTGCATAAAAATGAAAATGAACATTATGTCTTGATATAATTGAACCAAGTGGTGACATATATAAAGAAAAGAGCAATGGGGCCAGAATTGAGCCTTGGGGGATGCCTGAGGTAAGAGGAGCTATGGTCAAGGAAGAATCGTTAATAATGACAGAAAAGGTTCTGTTGGACAGGAAAGAAGTAAACCAGTTTAGAACCACACCTCTCAGGCAGACGAGGTGTTCCAACTGGGAGAGCAAAACTGCATGGTTGACGGTGTCAAAGGCTGCCGATAGATCTAGAAGAACTAGAATAACAGGGCGTTTGGCATCAAGGGCCATAGTAATATCATTATGGACCTTCAGTAATGCAGACTCAGTGCTGTGATGGGGCCTAAAACCTGATTGAAACTTATTAACAACATCCAGTTGATCCAGATGAGACTGCAACTGGGTGAGGACGAGTCTTTCCATAACCTTAGATTTAAAAAGGCAAAAGGGAAATTCGGCAAAAATTGGACAGAAGGGAGGGGTTGAGGTTAGGCTTCTTGAGAAGTGGTCTCACTATAGCATGCTTAAGGGCAGAGGGGACCGTGCCCAACCTAAGACAGCAGATAAGAAATATGAGCAGAGAGGGCCCCACAGTGTCGATGACCTCCTTAATTATCCTGGCTGGGACAGGGTCCAGGGGGGAAGAGGCAGACTTTACCTGTAACACACATTTTTTGAGTTGAGGCAGAGAAATAGGAGTAAAGGTTTCCAGAGTAACCAGTGCCTGAGATACAAGTGGTACAGAAGGTGGAAGCTTGGGAATACTTTGTCTAATAGCCCAGACTTTGTCACTGAAATAGCTCTGGAACTCACTACAGGTCAGCGCCGACCCCTTGGTGGCCAAAGCAACAACAGGGTTAATAACTAACTGAATTAATAGTATTGAAAAGAACTCTGGGATGCTGACTGTTATTCCGAAATAATATTTGATAAATATTGGGTTTTAGCATAATTTACAGCTTTCTGATATAAGACCAGGCTGTCCCTTAGGATGTCCAAGGAGACATGCAAGCCGTCCTTCTTCCATTTTCACTCCGCCTGTCTGCAGCGTCTCCACAGGGCATGAGTGGTTTCATTCAACCATGGGTTAGGAGTGTTCCTAGCTTTCATCCTAAAGGGAGCGATGGAATCCATAATCCGGGAGTAAGTAGAATCAAACGAAGAGAGGACGTCGGGGCACGTAAGGGAGATCAGGGCTTCTGAGAAGTAGAAATTGGAGGCTAGAAAAGCAGCAGCAAAGTCTGGAGCCGTTGAAGGAGTAATAATCCTGTGGCACTGGCATGGGGCCATGGGTCTGGGTGCACTTGACGGTGCCAGGACTTCAAAGGGGATGAAGAAATGGTCAGAAATGACCAGGTTTGATAGATCCCCAATGGACACAGACAGACCTCGTGAGATGACGATGTCCAGTGTGCCCCCACGTTGATGAGTGGGGCCAAGTACTGACTGGGTGAGATGAAAGGAGTCCAACAGTGAGTTAAAATCATTCGTCAGCTGGTCAGAAGAAGAGTTGACGTGAATGTTGAAATCTCCACAAATCAGGAGACTGTCAAATTGTGGAGTAAGCGCTGACAAGAGTTCCCCAAATTCATTTATAAAGTCCTTGGATTTAGGAGGACGGTATATGACTGCACATAAAATAGGACAGTGCAGCTAGGGCTGGGCGATATGGCAAAAATGTAATCTCGATAATTTTTTTCCCATATTGATTGATAACGATATATTTTTTGTTATATAAACTGTTAATGCTGCCAGCTTTCAAAGAGTATCCCAAGTATGAAGCCACAAAAATTTGAGGGTCCATTAGTTTAAAAATTAAGATAACTTACTAAAATAAATTAAAAACTAAAAGTTGTGACAAAAGAAGGTAAATTAGATTAAACGTGCAGTGCAAGTAAACATAAAACTGTTGTAAACATAATTTGTAAGTAACACAATTACAGTTTTTTCTTTTCCAGAAAGACAAGTCTGTCTACATCATCTGGCTTTAAGAGGTAAATTAAATGTGCTAAATATAATCATAAAAGTATACAACTAGAAATTGCACACAATTTGTCAAACTTTTACATTTTTTGTGTCAGGAACACTAGACTGTCAACAGTGTCTGGATTTAAGAGGTAGTGCAAAAATGTGCAAAATGTAAACATATTTAACATATGTTCAACTTATTCATCAGAATTTGTAAAACATTTAATTTCCCTCTTAAAGCCAGGCACTGTTAACAGACTGAGACTGGTCTTCAAAAAAAATTTGTTGTGTTTTACAAATTCTGATGAATAAGTTGAAATAAAACTATAACATAAAACAATGAAATTTCTAGCCAGTGCACATATTTTGTAAAAAGTTTTCAGATTTTTTGCCAGAAAGACTAATCAGTCCACTGTGTCTGGCTTTAAGGCTGCCCTGTTGCAGGATACAATATTACCCCCTGTGCTAAACGCACGCTCTGAGGGGGCGCTTGTGG